AAGAAACAGAAATAAAGAGGCACAGATAATTTCCATAGAGATAATAACTAAGAAAATTTCAGATCTGATGAAAGACACTAATGTACATAATTAAAGGCATTTCAAAGCAATGCAAGTAAAAGAAATTCATATAGATAAAGGTAAAATACGAATACAGATTGCTTCCCCTGAATGACATACTTATACAGTACTTCTCAACAGCAACAATACAGGACAAGAGAACAATAATTTGATAGTATTGAAGAAAGATAATATTTCGACCCATTTATTTTATACCCAGTGAAAATATCTTTCAAGGTTATAATTTAGAATGAAGTCACCAACTTAAGGAAATCCCAGTAGGTATATTCTGTCTGATGGATAGTGTGGTGGTTTGAATATCCTTGGCCCATAGGGAGTAGTACTGTTGGGAGGTGTGCCCTTGTTGGAGGAAGTGTGTCACTGTGAGGGTGGCCTTTGAGATCCTCCTCCTGGCTGCCTGGGAGGTAGTCTTCTCTTATTTACCTTCAAAGCAATATGTAGAACTCTAAGCTTCTCCAGTGCCATGCCTGCCTGGATGCTGCCATGCTTGCCTGGATGCTGCCATGCTTCCTGCCATGATGATAATGGACTGAACCTCTGAACTGTAAGCAAGCCCTTATTAAATGTTGTTCCATATAAGAGTTGCCTTGGTCATGGTGTCTGTTCACAGCAATAAAACCTTAACTAAGACAGTCTCTTCCAAGACAGATAGATTGATGTGCAGGAAGAAAGTACAAAGGCAGCAGGAACTGTGGACATAAGTTTAAATGATCACTGACTACATTAAACAAGACAATAAGATCTAACAGGAAGAAGAAATGCATTTTTAAAGCAGCCAGAACAATAACCTGTAAGTTAGGAGATGCTAAACAGAGCAGCAGAACCCAGGAGCCATATTGGGAGCAAGGTGGTAATGAGTTTTGTTTCTTTTGGTTGTAAAACTGTACAAATAGTTTCTACTCTAGGAGACAGAGAGAAAGAAATAATAAAAATCTAAATAGTCAAGGAAAGAATAAAAGAAGTATAGACTGTGTGCAAGAAAAATAAAACACAAAATAACATGATACCTTTTAAATGCAAATACATCACAATAAGTAAGTGAATTTAATGCTCCAGTTTAAAGTAAAAACTGGCCAAGCTTGTCTGAAAATGCCGTAATGGGCTATAAACAAAGGCTTGCCTTTAAAAAAAGTATAGATATGTTGAAAATTAAAAGGTGGAAAAATTGCAAAGTGTGGTGATAACATACCTTTAATCCCTGCACTAAGGAGGCAGAGGCAGAGGCTGATGGATTTCTGTGAGTTTGAAGACAGCCTTGTCACATAGAGAGTTCTAGGATAGCCAGGGCTACATACAAAGACCCTGTATTCAAAGAAGAAAAATGTAGACAAATGCATATGCTACGTTGATATTATTATCAGACAGACTAAATTCTAACACAATCTTACTAGCAATAAAAAGCTTCATATAAAGACAGACATTATAAATGTGTATTCACCCAGTCACGTATATTAAAATCCATCAAGTGGGAGGCTATCCAGGGTGGAGCTGCACCCTTCTAGAGGAGAAGGGGAGGAAGAGGGAGGGAAGGACTGGTGAGGGAGCAGACAGGGGCAGCAGTCAGGATGTTAAGTGAATGAATACATAAATGGGGAAAAATAAAATACATCAAGTGAAAGTTTTAAAAGGGGAAAGAAAAAGAAAAATAGAAAAATCCATATTAGTGGGACATTTTCTAGCTTTTTGTGACTAATTCCATAGCCTGACACAAATCTAATAACAGATTTAAACAAAGCCGTCACCTACCTTGTCTCATGGACACACCAAGCATCTACAGAATGAACAGACACACTTCTTAAGCACACATGCGAGGCTCCTCGACCCTGCTCATGGACCAGCGTAGAAAGCATGGAAAGGAAGACCACACATTTCAAGAGACTGGATCCATTTACACTGTGTCCTCTGACTACCATGGGACTAAGCTAGACATTATTACCGAGAATATAGAGCCCCTGAAACCATGATATGCGTGATTAAGAAAAATGTTCCCGAATAACTATTCAAGCAGGCATCACAGTGGAGGTTAGAAAAGGCTTTGGACTAGGAGACCACGAAAGCGCAGATATCAAAAATGTGTCGGGAACAAGGAAAGATGTGGAATTTTAAAGTCTGAATTGTGTGTTTTAGGAAAAAGACAAACCTCAAGTTAATTAGCTGGGCAGATACCATGAGACGTTAGCAAATGAACAGCAGGAGAGTAGACGGGCAGAGTACATAAAAAGAAGAAAAGAAGTTGGTGAGACAGAAAACAAACATTTAGCAGAGAAAAATCAATATACCATGAGTTGACTCTTTGGAAAGACTAACAAAATAACAAGCCTTGCAGTCCAAGGAAAGGGTCAGCGGCCCAGCGTGAGCCATTTAAAGGGCCCACGCTGCAGAACTGGGTGCCGGTAAATTGATAACTTTAAATGAAATGGAGAAATTTCTGGGAAAAAAATGTAAGTTATCAAAAATCATAATGAAGAAATGAAAAATCTGAATCATCTTCTAGCCATTGAGGAGATTAAATCAGTAGTACAAATTTTTCATGCAAATTACACTCCTGACTCATAAGATTTGGCTATCGAGGTTTAGCCTAGGGGCAGAGTGCTGCTCTAAGTGAACATGATCCCCCTGAGGAGAGAGGGAAAGGAGAGGGGAGGAAACAGAGCGGGAGAAGAGGGAGAGAGGAGGAAGAGAGGGAGCAAGGGTTTCACCGGTGAGGTCAATCCTTCAAGCAACCCTTTTAGAATACAGAGGAGGAGCCTTGACTGAGAAACCCGATCAGAAGAACCTTAGCCCTGTCTCCATTCTAAAAATAACCAGCAACCAGAACCCGTCAATACACAGGGAGATAAGACAAAGCCAGCATGGTGGCACACACCTTAATCCCAGCACTCAGAAGCCACAGACAGGTGGGTGGGTATCTATGAGTTCCAGGCCAGTCTGATCTACATAGTGAGTGTCAGGCCAGCCCAGTATACATAGTAAGTTCCAGGCTAGTGAAAGCTGCAAAGTGAGACCTTATCTACAGGGAATTATATAAATAAACACATACTGAAATACACAAATAAATTGTACTTTATGTGGGACTGGAGAGATAGATGAATGGTTTTAAAGCACCAACTGTTCTGCAGAATGCACAGGTTTCATTCCCAGTACCCACAATGGCCTGTGACTCTAGCCCCCATGAGCTCTAACGCCCCCTTATGGCTTCCACAGGCTCTTGCACACACAGACTCTCACCTTCTCCCAGGTTCTCTCATACACACACACACACACACACACACACACACACACACACACAATTAAATAATAATAATTAAAAATAAATAAATAATCTTAAAATAATAATAAGCTATCTTGCCTTACCTGAGATTGCTTCAGGAATGCAGTGTTAGTTTACAATTAGAAAATTAATCAGTGTTCTTACCCAGTGGTAACTGACCAGAGGAGAAAAACTACATACTAGTTGGAGAAGAGTTCACTCTGCTGGCTAGTTTTATGTCAACTTGACACAAAAGCTAAAAGAATCTGAGACTTTAAGAAAGTCTCAATTAAGAAAATGTCTCCATAAGACCAGGCTGTAGGCAAGCCTGTAGGGTATTTTCTTAATTGGTGATTGACGGGGATGTTGTCATCCTTGGGCTGCTTGTCCTGAGTGCTATAAGAAAGCTGGCTAAGCCAGCCTTGGGGAGCAAGCCAGTAAGCAGCACTCCTCCACGGCCTCTGCATCAGCTCCAGACTCCAGGTTCCTGTCCTGCCTAAGTTCCTTCCCTGACTTCCCTCAGTACTGGACTGTCACCTGGAAGTATAAGCTGAAGTAAACTTTTTTTTTCCTCTCTAAGTTGCTTTGGTCATGGTGTTTCATCACAGTGATAGAAACCATAAGATTGTGACGAAACCTCTTAAGCCAGATGTCACAGGAATGTCTCTTCAGTAGCATTGTTGGGGTACACAGGCTCAGTCAGTTGCCCTCAAAGGTAAACCTTGAACCAGTTTGTCTCTCATCAGGTAAATCCCAAGTAGGCTCCCAAAGTCCATAGGCAGTATCCACTGCTAAGCAGCTCAGCCTACCCTCTTCCCATCAGCCTCTCTCTCAGGCTTCCCCTTCATTAGCTGCACATCACTCCAGAGTCATGACGTGCCTACACAGTCAGGGCACATCCCATCACCACCAACCCAGCCTCGTTCCAAACTCCCTCTGTCCTAGTTTGCTGTGATAAAGACCATGACCAAAAGCAACTTGAAGGAAAGGGTTTATTTTTCTTAGGGGTTATATAAGTTCATCACTGAGGGAAGCCAAGTCAGGAACCTAGAGGCAGGAACTGGAACAGAGACCATGGAGGAACACTACTTCCTGGCTTGTTTTCACTCAGCCTGCTTTCTTATACCACGTGGCACCACCCACCTAGGAGTAGCACTGCCCACAGTGGGCCGGGCCTTCCCATATCAAATAGTCAATCAAGGAAATGCCCCACAGACAAGCCCTCAGTCAGATCTGATGGCGTCAGTTCCACAGTTGAAGTTCCCTCTTCCCAGATGACTCTAGTTTGTGTCAAGTTGACAGAAACTACCAGCACACCCTCCCGTTGTTTTCTAGTCCCAGAATTCTCTTTCTGGGAGACAGCTACCACAAATACAGTGTCTACAGAAAGGCACCTCATGATGGCCATCCAACATCCTGCTGCCAGTCGCCCTGTGGTCTGCTGTCTGAGCTCCACCCTTACGGCAACCCTCTCAATAAAGCTTCCATAGAGGACACTGGAGGGGCGGCCCAGGGTCACTGAGGTAACACCCTGGCCCTTTCTTGCAAGCTTTTGACCCATCAGGAGGACCCTCCAGGGTCTGCTCACACTCAGAATAGAGGGGTAAACTCTGAGCAGATGCCTGCACTGTGCTGCCAGGTGACAAGTGTCTATCCCTCTTCTCCCTAGGGATGTACCAGGTGATTGAGGGCATCATCTCACCCGTCAATGACAGCTACGGGAAGAAAGACCTGGTGGCTTCCCATCACCGAGTAGCCATGGCCCGGCTGGCCCTCCAGACGTCTGACTGGATTCGGGTGGACCCCTGGGAGAGTGAGCAGGCACAGTGGATGGAAACGGTGAAGGTGCTGAGGTAACAGAGTCGTGTTGTTCACCTGCAGCATGAAAGGATGGGACAGCGCTGTGGTGGCTCCAGGCAAGAGCAGAGAAATGCCTTGGCTGACAGGGATTGAGACCCACGGAGTCAGACAGGTCCCTAGGCAAGAATAAGGGAGAACCTTCTGCCATTTGAGAGAGTTTTGTGTCTGAGGACTGCAGCATCAGGCCCTTTGTCACCCATTTAGCAGCTCTGTGACTTCAAACAGGTAACTTAACCTCTCTGAGACCTCTTCATCACTTGCAAAATGAAGACAATATGATTGAATGACAATTTTTTTTAGACACTTTCCTGGTGGAAGACTAACAAATCACCTTCCGTAACTGGGGCCTTAAACTTCCCGACGTTGACAAGTTTGAAAACTGAGCCTGTGTAATAAGCTGTCCTTTCAGCTTTCTCACTAGACGTAGACTTTATGTAAGAGGAAAGGAGTTATTTTAAGAGCGGAAATCATTACTCTAAGTTACCTTTTGTCTTTTGAATTCATAATAGCATTAAACATAGTCCGCAGAGCTGTTTGAAAGTCCTGGTCCAGCCCTTCCCATTACAACAGCTGTCCTGGTTGTCAGAGGGGAGTAAGGTTCATCACTGGTGACAGGCTGCTCTGTGAGAAGGCACCGTAACACTGGACCTATGCCATCATACAGGTTCTGCACCTTCTGTTAGGGAAGAGACCACAGTGAGCATTCAGCTAATCCAGTGCCACCTCAGAACCTGCTGCCAAACCGATAGGATAAATGTTTAGTAACCGTGTAGATACACGCTCTCTTCTTTTTAACCACCCACTGGCATAGCCAGATCTCTTACTCTGAAGACATGCACCTAGCGCGTCCTTTTAAAACAAGCCTTTCTCACCACTCGCTCCTCTAGGCTAATCAACAGGAGCAGAAGCAAGGCAGCAGATTATCCAGCAAACCGTTTAGCTTTAGTAAGTACTCAGGAATTAGGGCTTTCTCCCCATCCCCGAGAAAGCCACAGCTGTCTGGAGTGTGCGTGAAGCCAGATTTAGCTGAATGACTTTATGTAACAAGTGAGTCAGCCTCCTCGAGCCTCAGTTCTTTACCCAATAAAGTAAGAAGATCCACACCTCCTCAGCAGGACAGGGTGTGGTTTTGATAAGATGGTGCAGACAAATGAGCTGGTGGATAGTAGACACTAATGTCACCTGCCTTCTCCACATCTGTAATGCTGGCTGTGGTCTGTCCTCAAAACCAGAACACCATTTATGGACACATAGGTGATAGTATAGTAATTTCATGGTACTTCTATTTTAGAATGTAGATGTGAGCAGAGATACTATGAAACACACACTTTCTCTTTTCCCCTGTGCCTTTAGTCAAATGCTTCTAGACACTGGACACACAGCAGACTTCCTAGGTTCACAGCCGAGGTCCCTCCCCAAAGGCTATGATTCCATTGGTTTGGGTGAGGAGGGGAGAGATTTATTATTTCCGTTGTTCCTGGTGACTCTAACATGTATTTAGGCTTGAGCCCCACAGCTTCAGTTACTGAACAAGAGAATCAGGATTCTGGGAAGTGCTGGTATTCACTTAAAGAGCAGTTGACACTGGTCACAAGCTTGGCTGCCAAAATCACTTAGAATATTTCTTTAAGGCTCTCTCCAAACGCAAGGCCTTCAGATCTGCTGGCATGGACCCTAACCATAAGCATCTATTTAAAGGTTCCAGATGATTTCTGTTGTGCTGGTGTGGTTGAGACTTATGAACAGAGTCAACAGTTTCTTTGAATGGATAGCTGATTAACTTTTTTCCCCTGCCAAAGGTTGAAAACCAGGCTAAAATTATAAGTCAAGTGGTTTTAGAATCATGGTAGAAGTCATCCCCATCATCTTCTGCATTTAATGTCCTCTTGATGGTGGCCACAGTGGATCCTACAACAAACATGACAAAGGTCACCATGATACTAGTTCCCTAAGGGACTCATGGGAAACTCTACATCCTGCTGTGTTGTTCACTGTTCTGCTGATGCTGTAATGTCTAGGCCAACTTTAACGACAGAGCCTTTGGTATCTGAGCTTGCCACTTTTTCCTTACAGTGAGAAATAACCAAAAGAAACGATTTGACAAGAGATTGTCTCATCACTCACACTTTGAAAGCTTCCAGCCCAGATCTAGCATAGCAATTTCTGGCCCATTGTGAGGCAGAACATCAAAACATAAGGGTGTGGTGGAACCAACGTATGTATTTCATGGTGGCCAGGAAGCACAGAGACAGAGAGGAGCCCAGAATAAGGCCCAGATTCCCAAAGACTTATCCCCAGTGACCTATTTTCTTCAACTAAGCCTCACCTCTCAACCCTTCAGTCATTTCCTGAAAAAAAAAATGCTATCAAATTCAAACCTACCAGTAGTCATTGCTGGTAAGATGAGAGCCCATCTTTCAATGACTGCATCTACAGCTAAGGCCTGAGCCTTCAACATATGGACCTTAGAGATTACTCTCTATCACCAACCGTAGCAATAACTTACCTTTTTCTCATGTTGTGGGGGAGGCCTTAGTCAAAATGACACTTCATGTGGTCTGTCCTTCACCCACATCACCTCATGAACCCACTGCAGACTCGACCTCCCAACTCGACCTTGAGGCTTCATTTGACAGATGAGAAGCCTCGGACTCACAGAGACATCCAATTGATCACAGTCACACAGCAAATAAGCAAGAGGCAGAGCTCTGGCCATTGAGCTCTGAAGCCATACCAGAGGCAGCCTTCAAAACCATGCTGTCTGGGAATAGGAGGTGGCTGAGTTTTCACTTGTCATAGTTACCCTTTGCTGGAGCATCCCTGGGCAAGCTTTGAAGCCACAGAAAACCATGCTCTCAGAGTCAGTTCAGAGGCCTAGGGCTGGGCACAACCGGGTACCACTCAGGCAGGCAGCAAAGAGACAGCCAGGGCCACTACCTGCAGGGAAAATGTGCTGAGTGCTGAAAGTAAACCAGCTCTCTTGAACACACACAGCTGTAATAATGCTCTGTCGAGTACCGTGAAGGCAGAAGATAAATGGACTCACAGGAGAATGCTAAGGTCACCTATGTTTGGTGAGAAAGAAAAAAAATACAGGAGTCTCAATTTGAAGACAGATTGCTTAAAAGGAAGCATGTCAAATTTGAATGAGTCTGATCACACCTAACCTGCCCTGTGACTCCAACTTGAATGAAGTCCCTTCATCTTCATAACTCCCCATTGTCAGAGGTAGGGGGAGGGGAGGAGTATGGGGCAATGTCCCCGTTTTCACTTGAGGAGCATCCATGCTGGCTGAGACTTGAAAGCACTCATCAGGGTGACAGCCAGCAGTAGGGAGGCTGGGATTCAACCCAAGCTTTCTCCCTCCAAGCCTAGGCTCTTAGCCACCAACTCATAGCATTTTAAAACACAAGTTTACGGTAAGAGTATGTGCTGGAGCTAGCTGGAGGCCACAGTGCCAGGGCTTACTGTGTATAGCTTGTACCTTCACCAAATCCTGAAATCAGGCATAACCACTTAGGCTTTCCAAAGGAAAACGCATGTTTAAGCTTGCATCTGTCTGTTTTTGAGAGCTCATGCCTTTGGCACCCACTCAGTGCTTACATCTGTATTCCCAATAGAGAGTTATTGAGACTCGTGGACAGGGTAGCATCAGGCTTCATTCCCTACTTCCACCCAGCTTTCGTAGAATGTGGTAGGACTCTGTGGTGTGTGCTTCCGGTCCTAGCCCTACCTGGCACATGATAAACCACTCATGGACTGGTCTAAGACATGTAGAAGGGAATCTTAAATCCTGAGGTGCTGGGGTGGCGTTGGGGGTCTAGAATACAACACACCCAAACCTGTGTGTTTACACCACAGGCACCACCACAGGGAGCTGCTCAGATCCTCAGCCCAGATGGATGACCCAGACCCCAGCAAAACACCATCAGCCTCTGCAGGTGGGTACCAACCCCTCCCCCATCTACAATGGGGGGGGGGATTCAGGAGAAGGGTGAGGAACCAATTGGATTTGTCCAGCCCTCTCAGCTTGGATAATGAACTTGAGTCCTCCCTGGTAGTGTAAATATGTCCAAGGTCAAAAGGTCAATTAGACACTCTACCTTTCCCATGCTCACCTCAAGCCCCTTAATTGTGGTGACTTGAGATTTACTGTCCAAAGGAGTTTAGCCACCCTCTGATTTGTCTTGTGACATGGATTACAAGTGAGGACCACACAGGGACAAGCTGGTGACTGATGCTGGGGTTCTTTAAAAAGCCTTAGCCTTTTGAATTTAAAAGGATAACATTCAGATGAGAGAGGCACCTGCTAGCAGCCACTCAGTGAATTCCTCAAAGGAGCAAACTTAACTTCAGGGGAACTTGAGGTCCTCCGGGGTGATCTTCTTAACTCAGAAACTCTGATCTCTACTTGTTCCTCTCCTGCTTGGAAGAGGCAAGGCCTCTGACTTGAGTCTGAGAAGCCCTGATGTCTGGGCCCAGAAGAGTGTCTCTCTCCTGCAAACACACAGGAATATAGGATGGGTGTGAGAAGGAAGGACATGACACAAGCTTCAGCTCACAAAATTCCAGCAGGTCACTTGCATGGCTTTCTCCTACAGGGTTCCTAACTCTAGTTGGTGGGACACTCTCATATCAAAAGAGTTCAATAAATGTACCCAAAACTGTTTCTTCACTGTGGGGATTTCAGAGCCTTTACCATGTCCAGGTGCCTTGTGACTTAAGGAGAAAAGGACAGAGCCTGTCACTTTTTAACCATGGCACTCGTACAATGTCTGATGGTCCTCAGAATTCTGAGAATATTCCCAAATACACCTCAGAAAGGACTTGAGAATGTCCTTGGGTCCAAAGCTTGCCATGTAGCCCTCAGACGTCAGCCAAAAATTACACATAGCAGAATTAATGTGGTTCTTGTAGAAACATGAATTGCCAAACCACACTCCAGACCTGAGTGGGAGGGACTCTGATATAATCCATACATGTACTATGTTCTGTATCCTCTGGCCTGTCCTCCTTCCCTGTGTTGGCTCCTCTGTTCCAAGCCACTCCTCATCATAGACAGGATGCTGTGTCCTGTCTACACCTCCTTCTACAAAGTCCCGCATAATGCTGGTGGACACTACAAGAGCCAGGCTCTGAGCTCACCGGGAGGGCAGGCACTACAGCACCCCAGCCCATGCCTTGTGGTGGACAAAGGCTGTCGGTGGAGGGAAATGGGGGCATTAGTGTGAAACGCTGCCATATAAAGGAGCAGATTGCTGTACCCCTGTTTACAAGACCAGTAGGATGTGGAGGTTGGAGGCATTTCGAGGCAGGAAGTGTCAGCACGGGACATGGTAGACCTATGAAACATCAGAGACGGCACAGAGAGGTGGGGCATCCAGAGGTGAGTTAGGGATGCCATGCAGAGCCCTACCTCTTGTATTGCCTCTCTGCAGGTGGTCAGAGAGCCCGTTCTCTTGCTTGGGACCCACTGCCCCCCTTCTTGCTCCTCCTTGGAATTCCTGCCTGTCTTATGAGGCATCCAGAACACACATTCCCACTAGCTGCCAAGCTTTTGAGTTCACCCTTTACCAAAGCCCCCACCTTACATCTGTTCTCTGTTTGTCTAGGGGTTCCTATCTCTAATGGACCCTATGTTTGGATTCTTTCTGAGACCCTCCTGCCTCAGCCTCCAAAGTGTTAGAAGTAAAGGCATGTGCTGCCATCCTAGCTTTTCTTGTTCGTGTTATATAACAGGGTCTCATTAAGGAGCCCTGGCTGGCCTCGAACTCACAGAGATCTGCCTGCCTTTAACTTTCCAGTGCAGAGATTAAAGGCATGGGCTGCCACACCTGCCCCATACTCCATTAAAAAAAACTATTTTTATGAATTCTTGAGAGTTGTATACTTAGTATTTTGAACATTTGTATCCCCTTCACCCATCTCCTCCCAGATCTACTCCCCCATTCCATACGCAACCAACTTTGTGCTCTCATTCTTTTAAACCCATTAAGTGGGGCTGGAGAGATGCCTCAGCAGTTAAGGGCAGAAGCCTTGCAGAAGACTAAGGTTTGGTTCCCAGCACCCACAACCATGTTGTAACTCCAGTTTCAGGGGAATTGATGCCCTCTTCTGACCTCAGTAGGCTCTTGAATGCACATCATACACGTACATACACTTAGGCACACACACATATACATAAAATAAATGTTTTTAGACACATGAAGCCCATTAGTGCTGTCTATGAACTCTTGAGTGTGCAGCCATCAGCTGGAGCATGTTAGACTTACCAGGGCCACACCCTTATAGACACCTAACTCTCCCTTTCCTGGAAACCATCAATAGCTTCTCAGTTAGGAGTAGAACTTCATGCCCATCTACCCTCTCCATGCTGAGATTTGCCTGGCTTGAGCTTACACAGAACTTGTTCATGCCGTCACAATGCCTATGAGTTCATATGTGCCACAACCTTGCTCTGTCTGGAAAACACAGTTTGTTGGTAGTTATCGTCTGCCTCTGGCTCTTACCGTCTTTCTGTCCTGTCTTCAGAGTCTTAGGAGGAGGGGTGTGTGGTAATAGATACACCATTTAAGGCTGAGCATTCCACAGCCTCTGTCTGTGCCTTGACCAGCTGTGGGTCTCTGTGTTAATCACCATATTCTGCAAAAAGAAATTCATCTGATGAGAGCGGAGGGATGCACAACCCTGTGAGTATAGTGAGCCATCATAGGGAGTAGATACAATGCTGGGTCCCATGGTAGAACACTGGCAATAGGTTCTTCCATAGGGGCTCCGACCTGACTACCACAGATTCTTGGCCCCAATAACTGCCTAGCCACTACACACACACATACACACATACACACATACACACACACACACACACACACACACACACACACACATCTTTTCTTTTTTTTCAACTTTTAATTTTGAGACAAGGTCCCACTGAGTTGCCCAAGCTAAACTTAAACTCTTGTATCCAAGGTAGGCCTTGAACTTAAAATCCTCCTGCCTCAGCCTCTTGACTAGCTCAAGCTGCAGGCCTATACCAGGAGGCCCAGCTATCACAACAGTTAAAAGCAACTAGGAGTTTAAATGTAAAGAAACACTGAGTCCATTCCGCTGTCTGCATCAGAAAAAGAATCCATATCAGAAGTTTCAAGAGATGGAGAAACACCCAGGGAGTAGGGAAACCACCGTACGATAGCATATGTCTAACTCCAGATAAAAGTGAGTGTAATTCCGTATTGTTTGTGTGTCTGAATCAGTATGGAAACCTAAGAAAATCCACAGAAATGTTGATGGCTATAGAACCCAGAACCAGCCTTATGGGTTGCTGTTGCTGTTCTCAGTTTTAAACACTTACAGTTTCCATATGTTCCATCGTGAACACGTTTCATGCTCATCATCAGGAAAAAGGAGAAAAAACAAAAACAAAAAAAATGAACATTTTCATATAGGAAGGCTGGTTTTCCTCAACATAAGCTTGGCTTTTGATGGGCTGCCACATATGTTACCAGTGACATATTTATTTCTAAGGGCCACTTTGGGAGCTGTGTGTTTTATTGTGTGTTTGTCACACTCTGGAATGGCAGATTACATGCTGAGCTCAGCACTGGTGGCAGCGGGATCTGGGCCTAACTGTCGCTTCTGTAATTGGCAGGCCTTCCTGGGCTCATCTGTCCTCACATGGATTTCTGTGATCCTGGATGCTTGGGTGACATCCTGAAATGGGTGACACCCCAAGGCCTTTAATGACAGCCAAGCTCACTGTCTGTAGTCTGTAAGGGTGGCCCTGCCCTTTGCTGTTAGGGCTGAGCCTGACTTAGAGAACCCTCTCTCTGTGAAAACAACAGGCACCCAATCTTATGCCCATTTCAGCAGGCTGGTTAGTCTGGGCACTGACTGCCGAGTGTCATTCCTAGGTTCATCTCTGGTGTCCTTCTGTGTAGATCTCTCACAGTGCGATGTCATGCAGGATGTCACCATCCGTGGCTGTCCTCCTATGTGGATCTCTCACAGTGTGCTGGCAGGATGTCATGCAGGATATCATTGTCCATGGCTGTATTCATACATAGCTTTGACAAGCTGTCTCCCCACCTGTCACTTCCCATAACTTCCATGGAGCCTTTACTGCCCCCGTCTTACAGCTGAAGAAATAGGCCCACCGGCAAAGTCAGTTTCCCAGGGTCCCAAGAAATCTAAAATTCATACCCAGGACTGACTGGCTTCAAGATTGATGCTATTAATGCCATCAACTTAGGGCCACCAAACATTCAGACTAATGTGTTTCAGGATATTTTCCTTACAGCTTGTGTAAGTTTTGGCCCATCTGCTTCTCAAAGCCCATAGCTGCTCAACATCATAGTAGACTGAGCACCAAACAACAACATTTATATTACTGTGTGGCTGTTAGGCACGTCATACCGGCAACCTTTTCTTTTTTCATTATTATTTGTTGGGGGAGGGGGGAGGTGCCTGCATATGTGTTGGTGCACCATTCACGTGTAGTGCCCACAGAAGCCAGAAGAGGGCTTTGGATCCCCCTAGACCTGGAGTTACAGACAGTTGTGAGCCACACGTGGGTACTGGGAATAAAACCCTGGCTCTCTGGAAGAGCAGCCAGTATTAACTGCTGAGCCATCTTTCCATCCATCAGCCTTTATTCTTGAATTACATACTTTGGACTTGGACAGGTACTGGGTCTAAAACTTCTATAGCATTTGTGTGAATGAATTTGAGAAGGTTCTGTGAGGTCTGAACATGAGCAGTTATGGGCTGAGGTATATGTGGCCATGAGAGTTGATCATGCCATTGTCTTGTCTTGTAGGATAACAGGCACCTCTAACCTCACAGACATGCCTTTGATTAAGGGGCAGAGCTCAATCCTTTCTAGTCCTTTCTAGTCACAGCTCAAAGTGAATACTTTTTTTTTTATTCTCAATATTAATGATTTTACTCTCAAAATTAATGTCTAATGTGGAAGCTGAAATGTCAAAAATTTCCTCATGAAACTGACTAAGAGCATCTAGGGAGAAGAGCACATGCAGATTATACCTGTGTGTGAGGACCTGCCTGTTCAGATCCTAGCACCCAGATAAAAAGGCAGGTGCAGCTGTAGAGGCCTGTAAACCCTGCCTCGGGGCATGGGAAAGAGGAATATTGCTGGGGCTCTCTGGCACCCAGCTAACTCCAAAGTGGAAAGCTTCAGATCCAGGGAGGAGCCCTGCCTCAATGGAGCAAACAAAGAGCAATCGAGGAAGGCATTCAGCATCCTTGTCTGGCCTACACACACACACACACACACACACACACACACACACACACAAATTAAAGATGGAAAAACAGTAGGAGAAGACAGAATTGTGTTTTGTCTGTTCTCTGACCTGTAGAAACAGGCCGGATGTGCCCCAGGTCCCAGGAGATGTTGAAATCAAATAAGTATCATTGAGCCAGTTGTTGGAAAGGCCAAAGCCTTGTCTCTTATTACCTTGCAGTGATTCAATAAGTAAGAATTAGAGCAAATCCTCATAGCTGTTGGAAAATACAAATCCACGCCAAATTAGTAAAGCCTGAGTTAATGAATAATTTGTAGCAGTTTTATTGCTTTCAAAATCAGGAGGTAATTCATATGTATTGGATGGTTCTTTCTGGATAGAGGGGTAGATAAGTGGATAAGTAAACGGACTAGTGAATGAATGAAAAGCGGGTAAGACGTGACACTCTGTGCCAACCGTGGCTTCCGTCTGTCTCAACTGATAACTCACTCAGTGCTAAAATAACTCCACAAAGCAAGCACTATGAGTGTGTCCATTTGAAAGTGGATTTCACAGGAGTCACTGAATAACAGAACCAGAACCGAGCCTGAGGCATCTGGATCTGTCTGCCTGGCCACTGAGAGACTTTCGAACATCAGTCAAAGACTATTCCAGTGTCATTGACTACACCAGTATTCTGAGGCTACAATATTGGAAAAATACGTTTTCACGATGAAGGTAGCTGCTGTTGTGAGCAGTCTCCTGGCCTGTCATTTCTTGTAGGTGAGGAAGCTGAGGCCCAGCGCAGGGAGACCGGTTTCAGCCCCAGCCCAGCTCAGCAATATTTGCCCCATGGAGGCTGAACTCAGACATGCCTGTCTCTCTTCCTTTTTCCCAGGCCAGGCCTTGCTTCTTTGTAAGCCCATTCTTTGTCCATGACCAGACTCTCTCTCAGTATCTCACTATAAAGTAACCTAAACCAACCCTTTATACCATGTCTTCCCAAAATGCATGACAGCCCAGAATCTCTGCTTGCCAAGTCTTCAGGGTGACAAAGATGAAAGACCAGCCTTTATCATCTTCTGGAATCATTTTCCAGTAGTACAGGGGACCCAGGATGTGCTTCTAGCATGGGTTTGACTTTCCTCTTCAGACTAGCCAACTCCATACAAATGGTGTCAGCACATCCTTCTCTACTGCACCATGGTTTCCTGTTTGTGATGCATTTGCAGATTCTCACCAGCAGGCGGCAGCAGAAGCTAGCAGCTACAGATGCCCCACCTGGAGGCTGGCTGCCAGTTTGATCCAATCTTCTCTGCTGAGGACATGAGCTCTCTCTAGCCTTTCTGTGCCTTGGTTTCTCCCTGGCAGACCTACCTCATTAATTCGGCCTGAGAATCACATGGTTTTACACACATCATGTTGAGTAATAGTGACATAGTAAGAACCTCAAAAAACTTATGCCAGTAACTGTTCTGGTAGACTAAACTCCACAGGACTGCCACACGGACCAGCTGCCCTAGAACTCTGTCATATTGCAAACAAAAATGAAAAAGTCATCAGCTGGGATCTTAGAGACCCTTTAGTTGTCCAGAGAGCCTGTTCATTTTCACAGGGTTTTATGGGGAAATGATGGAGAAAAATGTAATAACAAGGGCTGAAGTGAATGTTGGGGTGGCGACTTATACAACGCCCACAGCTTCTTCAGCATGGGACTTTAAAACTCTCACTGCTTACCAGATAATCACATTCTAGGGACAGCATGGCCACCTCTGGGACTTTGTCTACCTTGGTCCAAAGCAGCCACAGACAAAACTTCAGTCTGAGCACTGAGCACTGAAAAGCAAAATCTTTTTTTGCTTGTCTTGACACTTTGCCAATATTAACCCAAAGCTATGAGTCTGAAATGGTTACTTATAACTGTGGGCCCCAGTATCACTTCAGATTCCCGTAATTTTTCTGGGATCCACTCTTGTTTTGCAGGACTGCCGGAGCTGAAACTCCTCTGCGGAGCTGATGTCCTCAAGACCTTCCAGACCCCCAACCTCTGGAAGGACTCGCACATCCAGGAGATAGTGGAGAAGTTTGGCTTGGTGTGTGTGAGCAGGAGCGGTCATGATCCGAAAAGGTACATCTTGGACTCGCCCATCCTTCAACAGTTCCAGCACAACATTCACCTGGCCAGGGAACCTGTTCTGAATGAGATCAGTGCCACGTATGTCAGGAAAGCCTTGAGCCAAGGGCAGAGCGTGAAGTACCTCCTCCCTGAGGCTGTCATCACCTACATCAGGGACCAGGGCCTCTACATCAATGACAATTCCTGGAAAGAAAAAGGAAAGACTGGCTAGAGAGTCTCCTGGAAGTTGGGAGTTATTTTGCTCTGGGTTCTGTGTTTGTTTCCACAGTGGTTTTTACCATGGGTGACTTCCTGCTCCAGGAAGAGATTGTGCCTGTGGCAGAGACAGCCATGTTGTCAGAGTAACTTAAATGGCATAACAGATCATAGAATTAGACAAAACCTCTCAGGTCACTAAGAAGGAGACCTGCTTACTGAGCAAATGGCAATCATGGGGGGTGGGGGGTGGGCACTGATGCTGTTCTAAGCATGGCCGGCCCCTGAACGGTCCATCACAGTCACCCTCATTCAGGTTTTTTAACTCAGGCCGGGTGCAGCATGCTGGACTTGATAGGCAGGATTTGACAGGGTGCTAATTACTGCACAGAGGGTCTTTTCAACATCCTTGTTTCAAACAGAATAATAGCAAATAAGAATTCAGAAATCTGCAAACAGCACATCATTGATTTCCGGTGTATCCTCCCTTGTAAACCATGGCCTGCTTGCCTGCCTGCCTGTGGTGTAACATAAAATTTTTGACCACCCTCTTTCTATGTTGTGGTGAAGCAATATGTGTTTAAGATCTATTTTATTATATGTATGTATGTGTGTATGTGTGTGTGTACGCACATGGGAGGGACATCAGAGTGCCTGAAGCCCCAGTTACTGGCAGTTGTGAGCCACCTGATGTGGGTGCTGGGACCCACACTCCAGTCTTATGGAAGAGCAGCAAATGCTCTTAACCACTGAGCCGGCTCTCCAGCCCCCTCAAGTGATATTTTTGATACAGCGTGTATTTTTACACTGCTATCCTCTAAACACCAGGGTTCCCAATATTCTGATTTCTAAAAAGGAACTGAAGTAAAACAGATGCCCGACTGTTTTAGAAGATCTTTTGAATGTTTTATGACTGCCTGCTTGTTTGAATATTGGCAAAAGGATAAATAATAAATTGACATCAAAAAACACTAATGAAAAGTTTCTCTTTTTTTTCCTTCCTTTGTTATATTATTAATGCCCAGGGTTCCAGCTGTTGTTCTTCCTTTTAAATACTTTGTGAAATTTGCTCCCGTTCCAATCAAAGTGGCCTGGATTTAAGAGTTTGTGTCCTGAGTACTGGAAGTAGAGGAATGTCCTAGTCACATGAACACCCAGTCACCCAGGAGGAAGTCTCAATTGAAGGATTATCCAGACCAGATTTTGGCCTAGGGGCATGTTTGTGGGGAGTTGTCCTGATTGATAACTAAATAGAAGTGTCCAGCCCACAGTGGACGACACCTGGGGCTGGCGGCCCTGAGCTGTCTGAAATCCTAGCTGAGCATGAATGTAGCAAGTCAGCAAGCCACATCCCTCCAGGGTTTCTGCTTCGAGTGGCCCTGACTTCCCTCAGTGACAGACTGTGACCAGGAGGGATACGATGACATAAGCTCTTTCCTCTTTAGTTTGCTTTTGGTCAAACTCTTTTACCACAACAACAGAGATGAAATAGAACTAGGAAGGGATAGTGTCTCAGCATAGCCCACTCAGTCTTCCAACCTAAAGCAGCAGGCCATGATTTTGTTTCTGTGCACCCTGAAAGACTAGAATGAAGTGTTCGGGATTTCTCACTCCACTCCTGGATTCATCTTTGGGCCTGTTGAAGCAGTAGCACAGAGTCTGGGTCTTCATGCTCCATCCTGGCCCATCTTGGCTACATATTTAGTGACACAGAAAAGCAATAAGGCAGGCAAGGAGGATCTGATATCCCTCTCTCCCCCAAAACTCCCAGGATTCCTGTGAGCTGTGAAACAGGTAAGTAGGAAATAGAGTACAGTGACCTCCTGTGAGGTCCTACAGACTTCTTCCCTCCTTGACTGGGTTCTCCCCTCCAAGATGTCCCTGAATGCCATGCTCACTCAGGAAAATAGGGATCAAATATCCTTGTCTAAAACCTGTCACAGCACATAGTAGGACTTCAACTCCTTTCACCACTATGGGCTACAGTTTCTCTAACTCCGAAGTGGAGGATTTGATTAGGCCTGCTCTGAATTCTTCCAACTATAGTTTTCTTTCCCTTTCTTACTTAAAAACAAAAGATTATATGTATATATGTAGTGTGTGTGTGTGTGTGTGTGTGTGTGTGTAGTTAGTTAGCTTGGATTTTGAGCTTCTGTTTTGATTTGTTTTGGTTTGTTTGTGATTTACTGTTTGGCAAAGTTTCACTCTTAATACAGACTAGCCTGGAATTTGCTAGGTAAGACATACTGGCCTAGCCTCAGTTTTTCAGCAATCCTCCTGCCTCAGTGCACACACCACCACTCCCAGCTCAGCCCTGAGTCTGTAAGACTGGGTGCTTCCATTTCAGCTTCTCAGGCCTTCTTTAGGCTCTGTACCCATCTAGCCAGAGCTTCCAAAGGTCAGGAGAATGTTTTCCTTTGTAGGTAGGAATGTTCTGTTGTTCTCCCAGGAGCTGGCTCCAAGAAGACTCTCAGGCTCCGGCAAATGGACCAACGGCGATGGCTTTCTAATGAGCCTCACTGGCCTCAGCATGGCTCATTGCAGCATCGGATGATAACTGGTTTCATTAGCTGAGGGTAGCGTTGAAACTGCACGGCACTCCGATGAGTACACCTCTCCTGTTCTCTGAGCCCCACTGCCCCACTGTTCTACGTGGGTCGAGAAGGGAGAGAACAAAATCCTGCATGGTATCCAAAAGGTGAGCAAAAGAAGGGGTCTGCAGGTTTGACAAAGGGGTCCCCAGCCTCAGCCACAGACACTGAGGGCTGTACAACTCTTTGCTAGATAATCCTTTCCTGGCCTGTGCACTGTAAGACTCCTTTCTCTATGTACAAGATACTTAACACTCCCCAACTGTAGCAACACAACTGACCAATAACATGTCAACCATTCAGGACACCAGGTTTTTTTTTCATTCCTCTCCTGAACCCCCGCTCAGTCCAATGGTTGGCTGTGAGAATCTGCATCCACTTCTGTATATGTCAGACTCTGGTCAGGAGACAGCTATATCAGGCTCCTGTCAGCATACACTTCTTGGCATCCACAATAGTGTCCGGGTTTGGTGACTGTGTATGGGATGGATCCCCAGGTGGAGCAGTCTCTGGAGGCCTTTCCTTCAGACTCTGCTCCAAACTTTGTCTCCATATTTCCTCCTGTATTTTGTTCCCCATTCTTCTCCCCTACTTCTCCCGCTCTCTCCGGCCCCACTCATTCCAGCCCAAAGGTTTTTATTTATTTATTATATTTATTTATTTATTTATTTATTACAGTGTAAACACTGTAGCTGTTTTCAGACACTCCATAAGAGGGCATCAGATCTCATTATGGATGATTGTGAGCCACCATGTGGCTACCGGGATTTGAACTCATGACCTCCTGAAGAGCAGTCAGTGCTCTTAATCACTGAGCCATCTCACCAGCCCTTGTTCCCCCTTCTAAGAAGCACTGAAGTGTCCACACTTTGGTCTTCCTTCTTCTTGAGCCTCATGTGGTCTGTGAGTTGAATCTTGGGTATTCTGAGCTTTTGAGTTAATATCCACTTATCAGTGAGTGCATACCATGTATGTTCTTTTGTGACTGGGTTACTATTTTCTAATTCTATCCATTTGCCTAAGAATTTCATGAAGTCATTGTTTTTAATAGCTGAGTAGTACTCCATTGTGTAAATGTACCACAGGACACCAGTTCTAACTGTAGTTGAGACCCACTGGTCCGAGACGATGATAGAGGTAGGGAGAGAGGGTTTTTTTTTCCCCCTTCTCTTTCTCAATTGAGGACATCAAGAATCTGCAGTATCTGAATGAGTTTCTTTCACAGAAAACCAGTGAGAGGCCCCTACCATTCATGAAGCCATGTTCACTATAGGGCACATGGTGCCATTGCATAGGAATTAGAGCACCACACTCCGACTCCCAGGCACCCCAGCCTCCGTTCTTCCCTGTCTCCATATCCAGTGTCGTTCTGGACTTGGTTTATACAGCCTAGCCTTCTGTACTGGCATCTAGAGCCTGATAGGTGGAAGCCTACAGCATAGGAGTTGATTGTTTCCTTATCATTATTGAACTTTGGCATTCCTTCATTCAAATCACATTGATTGAGACCCTCATGTGTGCCAGGGGTGTAATGGTGAACAGACAGGGTCTCCATTCTTAAGAAGCTTATAGTACAGTGGAGAACAAACAAGAACCCAGTGATCACAAGTTAAGCATATGATTGCCAACAATGAAGAGGGTTCTAAGGGAGACACTGATAGGCTGATGCCCAAGGCAGCGAGTTCTCTGTAAAGCTGTTGAAGTGCGTGCTTTGGCTCTCCAATTTCTAGCATCCTAATGATGTAGGTATCGAAGTTTCTGATTCTTGGTCTTTTTTTTTTTTTTTGAAAGGAGTCCCTTTGAACTTATATAAGATATATATAGATTCTCATAATGAAATGGGTTCTCCCTGGTGGTGTAAACAACAGAGGAATGTTATGGGTGTGTTCTAGAGACGTTGGGATGAGTGGGGACCGATGGCTTTGAAGAAGAATGGTACACGCCAAGGCCCTGAGCCAGAAGGGGCAAAGTGGGCACCATAGAGAGCTAGAGTCATCATTACTTCCTTAACAAGGTGCTGGTTACTACACTGCATCTGACATCTGATGCCCTGCATACACAGTCTCCACCCAACATTCCCATGGGTTTAATAGCCTTTGAGGACATGCCTGCACCTCGCTGGTCCACATCTGCATCCTGTGGTTCCCACCAGGTAAAACATCAACTTACATAATAAAACACAACAAAACCTATGTTTTGTATATATGTATGTATAGATAGATATGCATGTATAGATTATATATAGATGTAGGTATACATAAACACGCACACACAAATATAGCTTATTTCTGTTGCCTGCTTTGTCTCACTAACTCGTGTCACCTTCCTCCCTTAGTAGCAGAAAAGGAAAACTACACATCACTGTTCTGCTCCTGATATGTTGCCTGGCACCGCCCTGCGTACTGATTTCATGCTCCTCTCTGCTCTCTCGGGTGTCCTCTGCATCTTGATGGCCTGGGTATTTTGTTTATTTCACAAGAGCAGAAAAACAGTGGTTCAGGCTCCTGAGTAAATGGAATTTCCAGCCTTAAACAAAGGTTCTCCTATGACACTGTTCACGGCCCAGATGAGAATGCGCTGTATCCTTGCCTGGGGAAAGAAATGTTCATTTCTAATACTGTCTATATCAGTTGGGACAGAATGATGCAAAATCCCATTTCAAGCCGCTAGAGCTTGGGCTTTGCAAGGTGCGTTTGGTAATTGGGTTAATGTATGAATATGTATTTCCTTAGCCCTGTCTTTACTTTCTGTGCTGACAGTGCTGCTGCCCCTCCCATTTGTGGAGGTCTTCATACATCCTAGTATTCCATTTCAGCCATGAAGTTATTTTCTTAGCCCCAAACCTGACATTATAGATGCAAATATGAGTGACTGATAAATATATCTTTGCAGTGATTCACATAGGCACATGTCTCTGAATAGTTTAGTATTGTTTAAATAACTTCAGCACACATTGCTCTTGACAGCACAGGCTGCAGGGACTATGGGGGGGACTCTAGCGTTCACTGTGATTCATGTTTCTGAATTAGCAAACACTGGATGAGTGAGAGTTTGAGCATGAATAGTGATGTGGTCAGGACAGTAGGAAGCCAGGCTCCTGCGAGTGCTGATCAGAGGCTCTGCTGGTGGGGCTGGTCTTGCTTGGTATGTAAGAACTCAGCTTCCACGATGCTGCCCATGTTTCTTCCTGGGACACTAAGCCTGCTCTGACGCTCTGCCCCGGATGTTCATACAGTATCATTTGTGGTGAGCATCTGCCTTTCAGGTGATTGACATTTTAATAGCCATGCACTTATGCCACGCAGAAGCAGTGTTAAATGTTGCATTTTGCTTCTAGAGAATGAACAAGTATGCTCTGTTGGAAACCCCTGCCCAAGGTTCAAA